TGAGGGGGCTGAGAGAGGACCCCCCCCCGCCCTTCGTTTAGAAGCCCCGGAGAGCTTTTCGGAGTGCGGGAAGGAGAGGCCCTGGGAGAGGGGCCGCGCTCCGGAAAGGGGGAGCCCCCCCTGGGAAAGTGGCCGTCTCCCCAGAACCTGCCCCAGTTTGAATGCTCGGGGCCTGGAGGGTTATCTCAACAGAGAGGGGCTCAGTTCGGGGGGTTCATCCTTCCTAAAGAGGGGGCGCCTCTCCGGGACTGGGAAGAGTGGGCAGCCTTGGTGGTTCCCCCAGGAGCCTGCATCAGTTGCAGTCGGGGGCAGTGTTCCCTCTAAGCTGAGTTAGTGTGAGCTAGCTCACAGTTTTTCAGCCTCCAGCTCACAGATTTTTGTCTCCGCTCAGGAAGGATGGCTCCAGACCAAACGAATGTATGCAGTAGCCAAATCGCTGGCTCACAACTTTAAGGCCAGCAGCTCACAAAGTAGGATTTCTGCTCACAAGATTCCACAGCTTAGAGGGAACATTGGTGGGGGGTGTGTGATGGGGAAAGCGTGAGGCCTCATTGAAAAGCGGGGAGGGAGACTCCCCTCGGCTGGGAAGAATGGGGAGGCCCCGTGGCTTTTTGGAGATTGTGGAGATTAAAATTACCAGGCTTGTTTTGGTAAAGGGGAGCTAAATCCCGAATAGGGGAGATCCCTCCTGTCTGGGTAGGGGCGAAGGGGGAGAGCATTCCTGAAAACTACATCAAAGCATTGTCAAGTAGTTTTGATAAGGAGAGGCGTCTTTGTTACTCCTTTTTGGGGGGGAAGGGAGCCCTTATGGTATTTTCTCAGGACCTCTGGGTATTAGTAGGGCTTGAGGGGAGGGTTTACTGTGATAAGGGGGGGAGGGTTGGATCTTCAGTAGGGGAGCCCCTTTTTGGCTAGGAAGGAAAGAGCGTGTTTGTTTCTTCGAAAGTGGTTCAGAGTATTGTTAAGGACTAAGGGTGGGGATGGTTGAGTGTTTGTAGTGTGGGGTTTGTTTGAATTCTCAGGTTTTGCCTTACCGAAGCGAAGGAGGTCCTTTTCTTGGGGTGATATAGTGGGGAGCTCTTAGTGATTCTGGGGACGAGGGTTTGTGATGAGGGACTTCCTGAGGTTTCCACTTCTTGAAGGGCATCATGGGGATGGCTTCCCATGAATTCTGAATTAGAGAGTTGTTGTGAACTTTGGGTGAGCGTTGGCCTCTGTAGTAGATGACTTGAGTGCAGTCCTGTGCAGAATTATTTTAATCTGAGCCCACTGGAATCAGTATAGCCTAGAGTGACTCTACATTGGGTTGAACTGTAAATCTGGAAGAAGGAGGAGCCCCTGGTATTTTCCTAAGAACTGTGCATCAAAGTATTGGTCAATACTTGGGCTGCTATATTTTCTGACTGTTACACTTACTGAGGTGAGACTCCCCTCCTTTTTTCTATGGATAGTGGGGAGACTATGTTAGTTTCCTAGGAATTGGATTAGAGTACTGGAAGTACGAGTGAGGAAGTTGTCTTTGCAAAAGGACACAAAGGCCTGATTCACTCATGCAGCAGAATAAGGTGGTAGCAGGGGTCATTTCCTGCAGGAGCACACAGGAGAGGAGCTCCGGCAGTAAAGAGCCCAGGGGGCGGGCATGTACAACAAGCCCCCCCTCCAGATAGCAATCCAAAACAGTCCAGTGGCACCTTTAAGGCCAAGGTTTATTCAGGTACAAGCTCTCCCTCCTCTGTGAGGGCAGATCTGCGCGTCCCCCCCATGGCTAGCAATCCAAAAGACTCCAGTGGAGTTTGAGCGGTGGGTGTTGCCTTCTAACACACTTCCGGTGATGTCAGGGGGTGTGGCATATGCAGATAAGTTATGCTAATGAGTTATGCTAATGAGCTCCTGCACCTCTTTTTCTACGAAATGACCCCTGGGTGGTAGGGTGCTGAGGTGGTAGAAGAGACAGTACCTTCAAACTCCACCTGGAGGAACAAATTTTGGAATGCTCTCCTATGTAAGTAGCACCCCACAAACATAAAACCAGCACAGCAAGCTGAAAGGGTGTGTGTGTGTGTATCTTTCTCCTTGCTGTGTTACTTTTTTGTTTCCATTGGACATTTTATGCAAATGAATGTTCCAAGCTGAATCTTATCACCTATGATCTGAAGTGTTGCATTCCGTTCCTCTACCTCATTCTTTGGTGTATGTATAAGCCAGGCCTGAGTTTGGGGGGATGCTTTAACTGAAGACAGGGTAAAGGTCAGTTGGATCTGCAGTCCAGAAGAGGGAATTAAATGGCAGTGGTCAAAGGCCCCAGAAGGCTAAGGTACTGAGTTTTAGCCAGAGGCCAAAGGAGCAGCATGAGATTTACTTTGGAATTGTGTTAAATAGAGAGTGGAGCAGTGTCCAAAATATGAGGTGGAGCTGAGAAGGGCCCTGAAACCTGACCAAGAGATGAAGGAAGATTTCAGAACAGCTTGGGGCATGAAAATGATGGCTGCCTTGGAAACTGTTTTTAACAAGTGCAGATCACGAAGTTTCTTTAAGGAAAAGGTTTAGGATCTTGGCTGGGGAGTAACCAGGAAATTGAGTAATGAAGTTTTCAGGGGCTTGGGAAGTGTGATAAGGGGAGATGTGTGTTTGAGCACTGGGCAATGAGTCCAAGGGTGTGTGTGTGTATGTGGCGGAGCACACACATGCTCAAGAAGGAAAAGATAAAGGAGATACTGGGACACATAATGATAACTGGTCTTGGCATACAAGCAGTTCTCTACAAGTCCTCTTGAGTTTGAACTGCCTGTATTGCTGTACTGTTTTCTTTTGTAATATGCTGGTGAGAAAGAGTATGTTGGCAGCCCATTTCCCAAGGTGGTGGAGCAGAAAATGGTAATGCCTCCAGTGCTTTGTTGGCAGGTACTTTGAGGTGTCTGTTCTTCTAAGATTTGTTTATTGATTTAAGCTTTCAGGTTCTTCCAGGTGCTTTAGTTTGCAGGTAGCCAGCTTATGAAAAACCACTGCTTTGTCCACCCATTGCTTATATACAGAAGCTGTTTGGGGTGAAGGAGAAGCAGGGGCATGTGCAGAATGAGGTTCACAGTGCAGTGGCGTTCTAACTACTGATGGTAACTGGATTTGTTGCTCTGTTTCGTAATGTGGTTTGGCATGCTGTTGACCGTTAAATTTTCTGTGAAATTTGCCCCTAGCTGTGGAGAAAACACAATGTAGAGACAAAACTAACTCTGTGATGCATAGCCTCTCTTACTAAGCTAGATTGCTTTGAAAGGTGCTTCTGTCAGGAAAGCATCTGCAAGAGGCCATGATGTAACATTTCCAAAGTAATGTGGCTGAGTTACATAAGTGTCTATTGCATGCGTATTGTCAACATGATCAGGAGTGTGTGTGTGTGGGGGGGTTGAGGTTGTATTTATTGTAGATTTGGAGGAACAATTGTAAATATTCAAGGTGAAAATGCTCTTGCTGTGTTATATGATATTGTTGCCTGCAGGATTTAACAGGTTTTGCTGTCTGTGCTCTTGTGTATAAGGATATGATAGAACTTGAACTATGATCTCATAGCGAAACCAAGTTGCAGCTTGTCAGTTTGCTTGACTTCTGATGCAAGCGTTGTTATGAACACAAAGTTTAAGATCTGATGATAGCATTAAAAACCTCTAGGACATACCCTGGCCTTCAGGTGTCTTGCTTTGAAAGAACCTTATCTATTGTGCTGTAAGATGATCGAATCTTTTATCTAGCGTATTCTTTCCTCTCTTTTTGTTTTAGTTGGCATTTAAAAACCTGGCCATAAGGTGTGTGGAGTCGAGAACTGGAAGCTTTAGTCCCTAGAACAACCAAAGCAACAAGGAAGCAGTCCCCCCCCCCCCCCCTGAAATTTCTTTCTCTATGAACTTTCTGCCTGATACTTGGGGTTGCATCCCTATATGGGAACTGGGGCTTCGGTTTAACATAACTATGTGGTTTTGGGGGAAAAACGTGCATTCAAGAGGAGGGTTTTTTTTTGAGTGGAGGAGTCTCCATTGTGGTTGTTCATGCTGGTAAAGAGGCAGTCTCCATATTAAGCTATGAATTGTCCTGTCTCTTCAGTGGCTTGATTGCCTGGGATGAGAATTCTGGAGAAGCCTTTGGTTACTTGCTGGGTTTCCATGTGCACCCTGTATCTTCATTAGTCTGTGATGCCTTCTGTTAGTGCTTGAAATTCTTATATTTTGGCTGTTTAGCTTTTAGGCTGGTGGGATCTATCTCCTGGCTCATTCACTCCATTAAGAAATTAACAGAATGGATTTGAATGCGTTGTAGATAAGGAAGCAACCGTGAGAGCAGGGAGATTGCTTAATGCTCTTACAGTAATACACCTTGTCTCCCTGCTGCTTTGGCCCTTCTTAACAGACCCATCTGTAGCAGCGTTCCCCTTATTCTTATTTAGCTACCGGCTTGTAAAGATGGAGCCTTTTGCCCTTCATCTTTAATGCGTGTATTTAAAAGCCCTTTCTTGCATAATGTTCTTACTGTTTCAGAGCAGATCAGCTCTGAATTCAGTTGTCCCGCCCTACCTCAAGGACCTGTTTAAAAAAAATCTTTAGCTACTTTTAAATTACCTGTTCAAGGTGCTGAGTAGAAGGGAGCAGAAGGGTGAACCTCTGAAGTTTTAAAAGTGGTTCTTGCTCTGTCGCTCTCAGCTTCCCCCTCTTTGCTTAGCTCGCCAGTCAGTGAGTTTCAGGAGGTGGCAGTGCTAATCTCCCATCTGTCTCCTCTCCTGCCCCTGCCTTGTGCATTCTTTGTGGCGAAGCTTTACTGCCAGAAGTGCAGTATGGTATAGATGCTTCCATCCTGTCTAGTGTCTGCTCTTTGCTGAGCTGTCCATGGTGACTGGTTGTCACTTAGAGCAACTTACCATGCACAGTTTGTCAATCCTAAAGGAGAGATCGAGGCTGCTAATCTTGCT